ATATATATGAATAATGAACACTTTTTTATGGAGGACATTTTTCCCCCTAAAAGCATGGTTCTTTCCTCATTTTTCTCTTTGTCATTCATTATTTAAATTTCATGAAAGAATATGGTTGTAACTCATGTAATTTCTCCTTCATTTGATCCTGCTGCTTCAAAATATGCTCATAACCAGTCAACTAGCTGTTTTCGCTAATTCTTCATCAACCTCAATGTCACATCCTCTGATAATCATTTCTTCTTGCAAAGGTGTTTATTATAATATTTATCATATGCATACATAATGTAATGTGCATCTGTGGTTCACACAGTAATAAGGCAAACACTGTGCCCACCACATGCTGTCGAAGAAAAAGCTGTTACAAACTTACACACACCCTGCGCCCCTCCCTGAGCACCTTGCTCCTCATTGCTCTGCGGAGATGAACTCTATAATGAATTTTGTGCAAATCACCCCTGTGTTTTTATCTATAGCTTTTTATAGCTTTAATACCTACATATGCACCTGAAAGCAATATTCTGTTACTTTTGCCTGTTTTTGAACTTTATATAAAATATAAGGATATTTAATTATTTATTTTAAGACTTCTGACTTAATGGTATGTTTGTAGATTCATCCATGCTGGTGCCTGGAGTTTGTCCATTTTCTCTGCTCTCAAGTTTTTCATCGAATGGGTACATCTCCATTTATTTGTTGGTTGGCATGAAAATTAAGATCCTCACATATTTTATATTATAAGCACCGCTTCAATGGACATGTCTCCCGGTTAACACATGCAGGGATTATTTTTAGGGTTTACATATGGATTAAAATTGCTGTGTCATAGGATCTGCACCAGTTTAGCTTTATTAGAAAATACCAAATAATTCTCAGAGAAGTTGTCCTGTTTTCACACCACGTAATGGCAGATGCTCCGGTTTTAATTTTTGCTAAATATTAGGTGTGACGTGCTACAAAATTATGTGTAATTACTCTTGTGCAAAATTCTTGTTCCCATATTTAAATATCTTACTCCGTGGCTATTACCCCCTTGTTTTTTTAAATTGACTCAAAGCCATTTTAATGTGTTCTGGAAGTGAGTGGTTTGTTGGTGTTGTAGGCTACAAATACCGCAGTTTATGGCTTTATTTTATTTTTGTTTTTGACAAGCAGGATATCCTTAATTGTAATTGTGTTTATAAGCTTATTCTTTTTATATTTGTTGTGTCTTGATTAAGAAAGTTTTTCTTCTCATAACATTATAAAGATATTATGTTGTGACTCTTTGTGTTGTGATGTTTGGATCCATTGTAATTCGTTTCTATAGGTGTAACTGATTTCGATCACTGTTCATTGATTCATCCATCTATTCTTCACCCATTTGCAATGCCTGCTCCATCCAAAATAGTCTTCTTATTTGTGCATGTTTATTTCTGGACTATTTTGTTCTCTTAGTCTGTTCATATGCATGTGTAGCACAAGAACATTGGTTATTTGTGAGAGTTCTATATAAAAATCTTAGTATTCTCTTCACCTTGTTTTTCTGGAGTTTCCTAGCTTTCATGGCCTTTGCTCTCGATATACATTATAAAACAAGCCGATCAAAGCCTAAGAAAACCCCTGTGGGGATTCGGGTTGGAATTATATTAAATATATATAACAGTCTGGGGAGAACTGACATCTTTCTGATACTGAATCTTATTATCTAACAACATGTGTACTCACCATTGATTTAGGGTTTTAAAGTGCTTTTCAATGAGTTTTTAAGAATTTCTGCAAAAATGACTTGCACAAGAATTAATCTTAACCCTTAAAGTCTGTTATACCTCTTATGATATTTTCAAATATTCACCTTAAAAATGGAGTATTTTACCTCTGGCCCGGTGGCTCTGTTGGTTGGAGCAACATCCTGTGCAGCAAAACGGTTGCAGGTTCAATCCCCAATCGGGGCACCCACAGGAGGAGACCAGTCAATGTCTCTCTCTCTCTCCCCACTCTTCTCTCTCTAAAATCAGTAAACATATCCTCAAGTGAGGATTTAAAAAATCATATATTTTCCTTTAATATTATTGGAACCCCAAAGCAACATAAATATAGTGATGAAAACTAAATGAAAAATTCATTACACAGTCCTCTCTCTGTGCTACACAGGGCAAATGTTTCTTCCAATCACTAATCTATCTTGATAATCACTCATCAAGTCTATTATGATCTATATTGTCTATGCCAATGGCGTCACTACTTATTTAGAAGGCAGGTCCTGAGTATTACTATTCCAGATAGTATTAATTAGTTATATATGCAACTGTCCTTTCTAAAGTGTGTGTCATATGCAATACAAATATCCCACCATACTATACAATATAATAAATAGCTAATACAATATTTTTTACTTAGATGATGCTACTTACGCATAATTCTCTGGCTTATTATCATAATAATTCCCCTCACATTGCTGAGGTCTCTTCAAAATTACCAATATCTTTTATTGACAGAATTTCTTTGGGTCTCTCAATGGCATTATCAAGGTCGAACATATGTTATCCTCATTTTGGACAGGAGGAAAATGAGACTTGGAAGAATTACGTAGTGTGCGCAAGATCGCATAATTGGCTTGTAGGAAAGGCGAGCCTCAAAGTCAGGGTTGCTGAATTCAGAGCAGTGTTCCTGCCTCTGTCCGGCATGGGTGGTGGTGGTAGCGACGCAGGGATCATGGGCCAGATTGGCACTGTGACCTTTTTCTATAATTGTACTTGGTGAAAGCCATAGTTGGGGTGTGCTGGTTGCAGCCCTTGGGAGGGTTCCTTCTCATTACACCGAGTCCGGTTTGTGCCTGCTTGCCATGCCCGCCCGAGTTGGAGTTTATGACCTCTACCCTAGATAAGCCTGGCATGCCCTATTATGCATTTGTTTCTTTCTTGGACTTTTTACTACCTTGTACTTGTTCTGATTACTTATCACCAGAAATATCTTCCAGGCTGCTTTGCAATTCTATTATGAAAAGACAGATAAATTGTTATTCTCCTAAGAATAGGCACGGAACACATAATGCAGCGCCTTACTAAATGTTAATTGATGATGGAAAAGATTTAAATATTTTTCTAAAAGTTAATATTTTACAGTTATCTCCCCAAATCCAACTGTGTTGAAATCACTTCGTCTCCTTATAAGAAGCGGCTCAGTTCAATGTATGAGAACATGCTCTTGCTCTTGAGCTTATGAGCAAATACAATGTATCAGCTCATAAACTCAAACTTGCTCTCGTGCTTGGTACTGTATGGAATTTTGTGAGGAGAGGACAGAAAAATGTTGTTTTATAAAATCTGTGCATTGGGAAGATCATTATTGCACAGGATGTGTCTGACGTGCCACGCTTTTACACTGCTGTCACTTTTCCCCCAAGTGCATCCGTCCCTCCGTGTCCTCTCCTTGTGGGACCCCTAGTCTGCACCAGAGCAATATTTGCGCCTGCGGACTTGGGTGTCTTCCAGCAGTTCCCAGTTTTACCTAGCTACAACAGTGAATGCAGCTGCAACCCAGAGGAGTCATTGTTGGTGAGGATGATGCTCTGTCACCTCCAGAAAGGTAGACTGCTTTCATCCATTCCCACCTTCCAGGCTGGCTGTAGAATTCTAAACAACGGGATTCACCGTGATCCTTTCAGTATTTGCAGGAAGCTCTGTTTTGTGGAATTTATAAAGGGAGCTCTGTTAGGTGAAACTGCTGTACAAGTCCTTTTTTTATGTTAAGTCCGTGTATTAATCAAAACAGCTGCGTGGGTTCCTAGGTAGACTGTAACACCAGGTGGCAATAAAATGTCTTCCTCGTTAACAATCAATACCGATGAGTGGCAGAGACCCCCTGCGGGTGATGGCCTTTCTCGATGGGCAGTCTCTCTGGGTGGTAGGGAAAATTAGTGTGGGCTGTATGAAGCCATTTCAGCTCCACCCTGAACTCAATAGTGCTGTCTTTCATGGCCCGTTAACAAGCTGCGCCGGGGCCCTAACGTGTGCAAGCTGACAAACGCTGTCAGAGCTCTCTCGACGCAGAGATTTTCTGCTGTATTTAACATGTTCCCTTTTAGTTTAATGACGCCCAAACACGCATCGGTTGTTGTTTGTTTAACACGCAGTGTGGTCTCTGGAGCCATCCCATCGGCCGCCACGTGCAGTGGGCGCGCCGGTCCAGGGGCCTTTCCTGGTGCAGTTCTTCAGTTAGAAACCGTGGAGTTACGCGGACTCCTTACCGTTCATTTTCTCCCAGGAGTACAAGAGGTGTGCATGCCTGCTGTGAAATCATGAGTGCGTTTAGTTTTCAGTGCATGTTAAACAAGAATTGGTCATAAAGACTCAGGTATGAGCTAGGAATGATAACTCTGGGAAGGTTTTCTTACAAGGTGCTCATCGGTGGCTCAGGGTTCCAGTTTGTACAGCTACTCAGAACTAGCTGACTAGTACCACTCCTGCAGTGACTAATTAGCACGTGCTTTGTGCTTATTCTGTACCAGGCACTGTTCTCAGTGCTTTGCACATATGTGTTGTTAAAATTTCCAAAACAGACCTATTCACTCCTCATTTTACAGAGGAGAAAAACTAAGATACAGGAGATTAAATAATTTCTTCAATGGACATACCTCAAAAATAAAACAATTGAATTGCCATACAATTCAGCAACTCCTGGGTATTTATCTGAAAAAAAAAAAACTAGTTTGAAAAGATATATGCATCCCTCTGTTCATTGTAGCATCATGTACAGTAGCCAAGATATGGAAGTAACCTGGGTGTCCATTATCAGGTGAGTGGATAAAGAAGTTGTGTGTCCAGAATGGAATATCCCTCAGCCATGGGAAAGAATGAAATCTTGCCATTTATAACAACACGGATGGACCTCAAGGGTATTATGATAAATAAGTCAGGCAGAGAAAGACAAATACCATATGATTTTACTTGGAATCTCAAAAAAAATCAAAACAAATGAACAAATAAAAAATAAAATAAAATGGAAAGAGACTCAGAGAAACAGAACAAACTGATGATTGCCCGGGTACGTAGGTGATAAAGGTGAAGGGGAATAAGAGGCACAAACCAACTTCCAGGTAGAAAAAAAGAAAGCCATGGTGATATAGTGTATAGCATAAAGAAAATTGTCAGTATTTTTGTAATGGCATGTAATAGTAACAAATGACTTATTGTTGTGATCCCATTGTAAGGAATATAAATATTGAATCACCATGTTGTACACCCAAAACTGATACTTATGCCACTACACTGTAATAAACTATAATTTGTGTGTGGTCTTGCGGACAGGATATGGTGGAACCTCAGGTGGACCCCAGGTGTTCTGGCTTCCAAGTTGGAGCACTTGAACAAAAGGAACGCTTCAGATCCACTGAAATGACACCAAATGCAGCCCTGGCCTTGAAGGGAGCACACATACCGAGTGCTTGCCTGTCTGATGATTTTTTAAATTTTGTTTTACTTTTCACAAAGGGAACATATTACTTTTATAAATGTAGATTAGGATCAGAGAGTTGAGATTGCCCTTCTGGTCACACTCCCCATGGCTGAAAATGGAGAACAGTTGGAGCAGGAAGAAGGAACATCTCTGGGTTCCATTATCCTTCTCTTTATCATGGGCCTTTCATCTCCCAAAACGCTGCTACTGTAGGCTGCAGCCTCAGACGGGGCAGGCTGCAGCCTCAGAATTCACAGCAGAATTGAACTGCATTCGCCACCCTCAGTAACTGGGGGGTGCCCTGTGGAAAGAACCCACTAACTATTCTTTTTGTTTGTTTTTACTAACTTTAACTTTAATATTTTCATAATATTATGAGGAATACTGATTTTAAGGAAGCTACTGATTATGAGGAAGCTACTGATTGGGATTCATGTTTTCTTTTCCTTTTATACTCTATAAATATAAATCAAGGGTGATTCCGACTGAAGTTATTGTCCCTAGTGAGTTCACATGGACATTATAATTCACCAGTAGCTGATGACTGAGTGGATACAGAGGGAGAATGAAGAGGTAGATTTAAAACATAAATATACCACAGTGATAATTTCTTCAATAAGATATGCATACAACTGAAATTCACAACAGGATACCAGACCAGAATATCAAGAAGTTTGGATTTTTTCTCCATCCCCATGTTTCTCAACTTTTTTTTCTTTTTCTTTCTTTTTTTTTTAAGATTGCATTTATTTATTTTTAGAGAGGGGGGAAGGGAGGGAGAGAGAAAGAAAGAGAGAAGCATTGACTGGAGACCTCTCATGCACACCCTGACTAGGAACCGAACCTGCAATGCAGGTGAACTTGTGCTCTGTGGGGATGACGCCCAACCCACTGAGCCACACTGGTGAGGACTCGGCTTCCTTTTCTGGTTGGCACCCCCATTAAGGCCTCTTACACGGGTCTCAGTCATGTTTCCAGTAGAACTTTCAAACCGCACTTTGGTTTCCAGGCAGTGATTTCTGTCCCAGCTGAAGTTTAGAACATGAAGGTCATTCATCTATATCCTGAAAGGATGAATCACATATTTATGTTCTGGAAAGTGGGCTGAGAAGAAAAATTTGCTACTTTATTAATTAGAGCCCTTTAAATAAGCTTAATCATTTGCTTGTTTGAACTAAAGTCATCTTCCTTAATCACCGTCATTAGTGGCTACCCATGAATGATTATCTCTGAATTTCATAAGCATGTTAGAATTTAATGCATTTTACATTCCCCATTAGGGATTAGATATCATTCAATATTTTACTATACCAATATTTTACTACACCAATGTTTTTTTAAAGCATGAGATTAACTATGGGAATGTGTGACCTCAGTGGCCGAGGGGCACCCTCCTCCCCAGGGGTTCCCATGCTGGCATGGGGGTGGTGCTGGGTGGGCAGAGAGAGGGGTCGGAGGAGCCAGCTGACCACAGTTTGAGCTTCCAGGGGGCTCCAGAGTGAACTTCCCCAAACATGGGAAATGCACAGTCGTCTGCGTTAGTCTTGACCTTTTCCAGTGATGAACAGTTCCTTCACTGTCTTTTGGAAATAGCCCATTCCACTTGGGGATTTATGTGAAAATTCTTCTTTATACCTAGCAGGGTGATTCATTATATTCACTCGTTCCTATTTCTGATATTTGTTCCTTTTCTAGAGGCGGCCTTTTGAATACCGGGAGCCACCTTAGTAGTCCTACTGATCATTCACACGCACACTGGGCCATGCCGCCATGTCCTGTATTCTGAATTTTGGAAATCCCCCATGATCACACTTCTCCTCCTCTATATCTTGCATGTGGAAATAGACATCATATGTTGCAAAGAAACTCCACAGTCATCGTCCATACCATAGCGCCTCTGGTTTACCAGATGCTTGATCTATGTTGACATGTGCTCTTGTTTTATCCTCTGGCAGACACAGAGCTCTCACTGTGTACTGACTTACCATCTTTCTCCTGAATGGACTCGAAGCTCCAGGTAGGCGGTGACCTTGTTCCAACTCATTCAGTGCAGCAGTACTTTTATGGGTCTTATATTCTACTTGAGGAAGACAGGCAAGTTATAAAATTAAATTGAAACAGTAAGACATATCAGGCGAATTTTTATAATGATACAACTCACAGAGCAGTGTGCTCAAGAACGAGAGTGAAGAGGTTATACAGTGGACTGAGAGAAGCCACACAAAATGTGCCTGATTTTAGCAGGTGGGAGGAATGCACAGGTCCCGGGGTGGGAGCAAGCTGGGTGCACTCAGGAACAGCAGGTTTGGTGAGCTGTGGCAGAAGAATGACAGCCTGGACATTCGGGATGAGGTGGGAGACATAAGGGCCTCATCATGAAGTCTTTACGGGTCGTGGCAAGGCGGCTGGGAGAATTTAAAGTGGATTTCTCCTGCTGGGTGGATAGTGGATTCTCGGGACACACAGGTATACTGGGAGACCCACTGGACATGTTGAAAGTGGCTTTAGGAGATACAGACGGTGGCAGGGACCAGTATAGTGACAATGGTCATAAAGAGAGGTGGTTGGATTTGAGATAGGTATTGGATGGGGGATGGCGTGGAAGGAAGAAAGGAAATGAGGATGGCATTTACCATAGAATGTTGAGGAGCTGAGGGAAAACATCTAAATTCTCTTCCTAGAATCATCACTTTTTATATAAATGGATATTTGGCTCATAAGATGATATGCCCACTTTGAGGCATAACTGTACTCTTTTGAGATGTGAGGAAAGTCTTAGAAATCCCTTTCCCCTTATCTATCCTCAACCTTAAGTAGCCTTCTCTTATGTGAGTGCCGAGAAATAATATAGACACTGTTCAGGCCATGAGACACTGAGTTTTTCCTCTCACAGATCTCCCTAACCTTTACTTCATCCATTAAAATATAAATTATCTGACACTTATTATTCCTTAGTTCTGTGAAATAATGACAGCTCTTCTCTCCTACCGGCCAGCATTTGACTGGCACATGAGAAATTTGCTTAGCTTCCCAAACCAGCGCAAGGTTTTACACAGATAAGCCAGTTCTTTTACCTAAGCTGGAACAGTTTGGCTGGCAAACTCAAGGAGACACAGCGTGGGGATCGAGGTGAACACATTCCTTTGGGTTGGCTGGCTCCCACGTACTCTCTGGGCTCACAGAGGGTCCACTCTGTTTGGTTCCTGGCCGGAGACCAGTGAGCCTGTGAGTGCTGGAAGTTCTCGTTTCATATGCCCGGTGCTACATAACGGGTTGAGGGTGCCCTGGATACTCACCAGTAACAAGGTGAATTTGTAGCAATGAAAGTGGCAATTGTTCTAGAACAATCATACCTGCCTGTTACTAGCCAATGCACAAGCCAATGCACTCTTCCTTGCATTTTTCCTTTTTTTTTCATCATGTTGATTTTATAACTCGAAGATGCCATCCTCATTGTCTTTAAGCTACCTAGCCCAGCATACAAACCTTCATAGTGACTTGCCAGGACTTCCCATAGAATTATCATCTCTTTGTCTCCAAGAAGAGCTCTCTGTGCTAAGTTGAACTAGACAACTTGAAATTGCCTCAACATACCCCTTGTTTCTGCCCTTTTCACCTTTGCTTCTAGGGTTCTTTCTGTTTAGAAGTATCTTTTCGCCCCCTTCATCTCTGACTGTCACAAATTACACACGTTTCAAAGGCCTGCCTAATGCTCCACCCTTCGTTCATCCAGTGATTTGTTTGTTCCTCCCTTTTGATATTTGACCCCTTGCCCTAACCATACATCTTAAGGGTTTTATTGCCTCTTCCCTGTATACTTTTCAAATGCTTTCTGGTGCCCGCAGTGCCTTGCACAGACGATGTTGCCAATTAGGATTTGATGACGTTTACTGAATTTTCACTAACTGCAGTCAGTCTGATGACAAGCAACAGAAAGAAAATCATCTCAGGGCAGAGTTTTGAAATAACCAGGCTTGAGGCCAACTTCGCAGTTCCCCTTCCCACCTGTCAGGGATAACGCTGTGGTGAAGACTGCAAACTTTTCACCTTTGTTGATCTGTGTTTAAAGTGGCCCAGCCAGTTTGTTTTCTTGGTGAAAAGTGAGTGCAAAGAGGAGAATGCCCTGCAGAGGGGGCTGGGCTGGGGAGGGGCCAGGGGCACCTGCAGCGGAGCTGCCATTAGAGAGCCCGATGGACAGGGCGTGAGTTCTCTTGGATTAGATGGGTCCCCTTTGAAGTCTCCCAAGCCTGCCAGGTCTTTGCTTCCTTAAGGCCCCCGAGGAAAGCCAGTTCTTCCAAGATGAGCCCGGCAGTCCCCACTTTCCAGGTCTCTGGCTTCATCAGTAAAGTAGGTTACATCTTTCTGAGCTCCGTTACCTCCTCCATAACCTTCCCGGCTTGATCCATATTGTGGCTTATTCATTACAGAGCCTGCCCCATCCATTGCTGGCTCTGCTCCCACTGCCTATTCCCACTCCTGAATGGGACCATTTAATTCAGTAATTGCCAGGCCTGTAAAAGCCTGACAACCTCTAAGCCGTTTTGTGTGGTGTTTTCACCTCATTGCTCTTCTGGGTGCCACCAGTGACTTTGAACGGAATGAGCCAAGTAACCCACAGCATCACTCAGAATTATTAATGAATTGTCACCTTTGCTTTCTAAGTGCTAATGATTAACTGACTTATTTCATAAGCCGATCTTCTAGGCATTTGGGAAAAGTTGTAAAGTCCTTGTTTTATACCAGCAGCAGCATCTTTAAAGCGGAGTGTGCAGTGCATATAGGCCATCCCATTATATTTATTTTGATATCACGCCTCTTTATTCCTATTTTTTAAATATACATGAACATTTGCATAGTAGGATACTATGCAATATAGTTTATAAAAAATGCATTCATCGATGTTACATGCTCAGGTGATTTCACTGATAGGGATGGATGATCAGAATGTTTGGGGACCATTGGTCTGCAGAGCATTGAGTCTGGCGTCAGACCTGGACTCCCAGCTGTTTGTCCTAACCCTTTACTAATGGTGTGACCTTGCACCAGCTGTTTAGCCTCCTTGGGTCCTATGTCCTTACTCTCGAATTGAAAGCAAACCCATTTCGTGGGGTTGTTGAGAGAAGATCAGTGAGGTAATGTGTGTGAACGAGTTAGCAAGTCCACAGCATAGAGTGTGTACTCATTACTATGGTTATTCATAGTCATCATTGATGCTGTTACTGCTCACGTTGTTATTTTGCCCTCTTGTCCTAGCATTTCACCACTGTTGTATATCAGAGGAACTGAGCCTATTCCGCGCATCAAATCATTAAAAAGCATCTCATACCAAACACATTAAAAATGTGAACATATTAAAATTGGAATTTTAAAGACTACCTACACACATCCCCCTAAAATTAATAGTATATATAGGTTTATAATATATTTGCATAGCTTTTCCAAGAAAGGGAGCAAAAGTAATTCACTGAAGCTTTAAAAAACACTGAATCCTTACTACATTCAATAGGGCCATTTTGTTGGTAAAATTAGGTCATGATGAATTTTCTGTGGTATTTTAGAAATTAAACTCTTTTGGATAATATGTATCATAAGCCAACCTTTTGAATGTTGCCACACCATGCACAGTTTTAAAGTGATATACCAGGAGAAGACATTTAAAAGAATGAATCACTTACGGTACATTCATCTCGTATGTTCACTGAGATCTGAGAATGTCAGAGAATTCTTCAGTGAGGTAAAGGAAAGTTCAACATAGTTTGCAAGACTGGTTCACGTGGAATTTATAAGAATGGACTGACCAGCATGCCCTTTTAAAATTCCATAGTTAATCTCTTTATTGAAAGCTGCTGGTCTCTTTGATTAAGGAACCCTTATGGGATGGTTGCTTTCAGTGTCATACAAATGAAGCTGAATTGTTGCTAAGTAAATCACTGTAGATCAAAGTGCTTTGTGGTCAGAGTACTGCAGTTAATTTTTTTTTCATTAAGTTTTAAAGAGAAGGTGAAGGGTTGAAGAATGAAACACACCCAATTTGACATCTGCAATGTCCATTTACATTCATGCACTTCTTTTAAGGATCTAATCGGAGCAATTGGGCAGGTAGTGCAGGAAAGCATAAACGCATAAACGTAAAGCTAAGTCAATTAATAATTGTTTCCTATTTCTAATTGCCCGGATCCTGCCTAACCTTTAAGAAATCAGGAGGCATGTGGACAAGATTCAGGTATACCCAGTGAAACAGAAGAGGCTCCTCTGTTGGCTTGTCCGTGGTGTAAAATCCCTGTTGTCATAGTGCCCTCCACACTCAGTGTACGTAGGACCATTAAGTGACAGTAAGGTACCCTGTGACTGTAGGGGTACTAAGGAATGATGTGGTACCTTTTGTGCCCTCCCTGAAGAGTAGAGCATGTATCTTTTTCCTCTTTATTGTCCAGTGCCGGAAGTAGTGTATGAGTGGGTTTGGATGGATTAAATAAAATACAGGGATGTATGTTTTGCTGGATGAGGATAACAGTGAGGAAAGAAATAAAGGAAAAGGACTGAAACAGTGGACTGAAAAGGAAATTGGACCTAACATAAGAATTCTACATAGGTGTTTGTCTCACAGTGTGATTTTACTTGTTGTGAAAAGTTCAGGCTTTGCTATGTTAAAATGTATTACTGTATAGTATATAGTGTTATGTAGGTATATTTAGTGATACAATAAATGCAGCTTTGGGAAGGACTCGTGTTTTTCCATATGCATTTCAGTATTGTCCAGGACAGGTGCTAAAAAAAAGACACATTTTATAACGCTCATTTGACATACTAGTAAGTCATGATCTTGACTTCAGATATGAAAATCAACAAATACATACTAACTATCTCATTTGAGGCCATAATAAAAACCAGAGTGCAACTTAGAAAGGAAAACCCATAAAACTGGCAATCGTTCTAGTGCTTTGGCTAGAAACCTGCAGCCTGCCTCACAGAAGCAGGATAACTCCATTATTGATCATTGATTTTTTTCCTGTAGCTGATCAACACTACTGTTCTATTTCTGTAACCGTACTACATGATTACCATTGCTGATACCAT